AGTGAGGGGCTGGGGGCGTGGCTCAGGGGTGGAGCCCCGCCTAGAATCCCCCAGTGAGAGGCTGGGGCGTGGTCAGGGTGGAGCCCCGCCTAGAATCCCCAGTGAGGGGCTGGGGGCGTGGTCAGGGTCTGGCTTCCATCACCTGCAGCACAGTAAAGCAATCAACTCCAGTAATGAAGGGATATGCTTGGCAGAACTTCAGCAATTCATTTCTAGGCAAGAATTTTTGGTAAAAACAAAATAAATACTGTAGGCGCCTCCCTTTCTGTCCCCTCTCATCACCCAGGGTACATCTGGAAATTCTGTTTTCTAGCACCCCCCTTAACCATCAAAATCCAGATCAACCTCTCCAAGGTGAGTGTGTCACCCAGGCAGCTGCAGTCTGCTCTGGGCTCGGACATGCTCCTGCACAACTCAGAGGACCCTTTGTTGTTGTTTTTGAGAAAGGGTTTCTGATAGCCCAGGCTCTCCTCAGATTTAATATGTAGCCAAGGTTGACCCTGATCCCTCCTGCTGATCCTCCTGGTGTCTTCAAAGACAAAATAAGGACAGAGAAGGTGCAGGTGGTCGGACAAAAGTGCCGCAGGAAGGGGGGCCACAGGAGTCATTCCCAAGGCCAAGTCCTCAGGACCCAGGGGTTTACACAGGGGCCCACTCCGAGCACGTTTAGTTGTTTTTTAAGCATTTATTACGGTAGCAGTTCCACATGCCACAGTGCACTTATGGAGAAGAGAGGACGACGAGCAACCGGTCTCTACTTCCACCACGCCCTGGGGATCAAACTCAGGTCATCAGGCTTGGTGGCAAGCGGCTTTGCCTGCTGAGTCCTCTCTTCAGCCCTGCACATGTTCAGATGAAGATGGTAGTTTAAAAAGAAAAGATAGGCCGGGCAGTGGTGGCGCACGCCTTTAATCACAGCACTTGGGAGGCCAGGCCAGCCTGGTCTACAGAGCGAGATCCAGGACAGGCTCCAAAGCTACACAGAGAAAGCCTGTCTCAAAAAACCAAAAAAAGAAAAAGAAAAAAGAAAGAAAAGAAAAAGGAAAAAGAAAGAAAAGAGAAAGAAAGAAAGAAAGAAAGAAAGAAAGAAAGAAAGAAAGAAAGAGAGAGAAAGAGAGAGAGAAAGAAAGAAGAAGGATAGAAATGTTTGGGGCGGGTGGGCCTAGCCGGAAGTCAAAGATTAAAGCAAAAAGACAGGAAGCTCCTGGGCACGCTCAGCTTGCCTTCTTCAATTTCGAGCGGAAACCATCATAAAGGACACTCTGAAGATGTGTCAGCTCCAGCTGTTACCAACACTGCGGGCTTTACAGGTGTCCCATCACTGTCCTTCCTTCCCCGGGTGTCTAGCCTACTGTATTCTCCAGCTCCTTAAGTAGCCAAGGGTGCCTTGGACTTCCTGAGCGCTCGCCCACCTTGTTTACAGGGCGAGGGAACTGGGCATGGGAGCCAGGGCTTCCTGCGCGCTAAGCAAGCATGCTGCAGATGAGCTCCTCCATCTTCAGCTCCTCCAATCGGGGGCATCCTCACCCGCCAAAGTCTCCTTCCTCACTCACTAACACCAGGATTAGAGGCAAGACACCGGCCTTTATTTGTATTTATTCTTTCTTGTTTATTTGTTTTATTTAGTGTTTGGGGAGTTTCTTCCACGATGTTTTGGGGAGATTCTTCCCAAGGGTCAAAGGGAAGCCTCGCTAGCCTGCCATCAACCTTTCAGATTCTAGGACTGAAGCCTGGGGAGCAGGCGCGGAGGATCGGGTGAGTGGTCAGGAGCCGGTGCGCACACTCAGGCTCTGTACACTGGGAGAGGAGGGGAGGGGAAGGGGACGGGAGGGGGAGGCGCGGGCTGGCGAGAGGAGGAAGTGGAGCAGAGGGCACAGGAGATGTTCCAGGAATATGGAAACAGGAGGAGGCCACGAGAAGGGAGAGCAGGCGGCCGCGCTGAACCCCAGACTCACGCTGGGGGGCCTGCTGCAGCACTCGGTGTCTTCACCTGTAAAATGGGGTGATCGCAAAAGAGGGGGAGACAGCAGCTCAAGAGACCTGTCAAAGTGGACCCCTGGCTGTCTGGCCCGGTGCTCGGGATCTTCAGCAGCCCCCCATCCCACCCTCCCACCCCCCTGAGACCAATGGCAGCTGCGGGCGGAGGTGGGGCCGCGCCTGCCCAGCCTTGGCCTTCAGTGGCTCTGGAAGCCGGCCCCGGCTGGCTTTCTCCCAAGGAGAGCTGTGGGAAGGTCGGCCAAGCAGGGCAGAAAACAAGTAAGCCCGCAGGGTGGGCAGGGGGCGTGGGAGGGTGGCCGGGAGGGAGGGACAGGGCCGGGCACGCAGGGCCGCCGTGCAGTGAGTGAGAGGCGCCCAGGACTCTGCCGAGGGCTGGACCCAGGAGCTCCCTGTCCAGGCCTCAACCTGCGCGGGAGCAGCGAGGCCCGGGGGTCTGCAAGCCTGAGCAGGTCAGCCTGACAGCAGGGTGGGGGCGCCCCGGCAGGAGGCTAGGGGTAGGGGCGCCTCTGGGTGGGCGTTAGGACTCGGGTGCAAGCAGGCTCGAGGGAGCTCCTGCCCCCGGGGAGGCATCACGGGGTGCAGCAGGCTTTCCTGGGGGGTCCCGAGGTACAAGAAGGGCTTGTCAAGGACGGCCGGGGACCTGACGCGTGCGTGACACTCCCCTGGGATCCTGGGAGGCGGCTGGTTAAGGATTTGGAGCGGCAGAATTGAGGTGTGCGGGCTCCTTATCTGCAAGACGGAGGCCTCCGCAGCCCCCGGGTGTGAGTTTCGGCTCCCTGGGAGCCTGGAATGCGGAGCAGCCTGGAGGCTTGGAGCTGGGACAAGCCGGCTCAAGCAGGCTCCGGTGTACGCGCGCCGCGGACACGCCCCCTGGAGCCATGGCCCCGCCCTCAGCACCTGCGTGTTTTCATCGCACGCTGGGACCAGGAGCTGCCCCCCCACTCCCTCTCCCCGGTGCTTGGTTGCCATGGAGACCGGTGGGCCGCCTGCACGGGCCGCTCTAGCTTGCGAGTCTCGTTGGCCACAGGCTCTCTGGCCCGCGCGTCCTCTCTATGGTCCAGGCCTCCGGAAGGGGGTCGGCGTGTGCCGAGCAGGCTGAGGGGCCGGGAGCGTTAGGCGGCGGGGAAGAGGGGCTCGGGGCGGAGCTAGGCGCTGGGTGGGTCGCACTGGCCGGGTCTTCCGGGGAGCCGTGCCTGACGAGGCCTGGAGGCGGCGCCGAAGGCCCTGGTAGAATCTGGGTCGCGAATGTCAGTAGGCTAGGGGCTGTGGGCGGGGCCGCGCCTGTGGGCGGGGCCGCGGGCCTCAGCTGGGGCGGGGCCTGGGTCAGAGTGGGCGGGCCTGCGTGCTTGGGCGGGGCCTGGCCGAGGGCGGGGCGTGCGCGTGCGCGCTGGGGGCGGAGCCACAGGCCTGGTCTGGAGGAGGGGCCTCGGTCAGGTTGCCGGGCTTTGGTTTGAGGCTCGCACTTGTGGACGGAAATAGAGGCCTCCGCTGGGGGCGTTAGTCAGGTTACCTAGGCGCCCAGGCTCTGAGGCGGGCTAAGCTCAAGGACAGCATGTGAATTTGGGGGCACAGGAGGGGGATGGGGCGACATGGGGGCGTGGCCTGGACCACTGGCTGCAAAGGGTACGACGGAGACCCGGGTTTGGGGGCGGCAGCTTAAGGGTGGAGCTTGGCGGCCCGGGGCGGGTGCAGCCACACGGTCAAGGCGTGGGGCGGGGTCTGTCATTGAGTAGAAGTTCTGGGCTTGGGGGAGGGCCGGAGGGCAATGATTGACAGTGATGTGGCCAATCCCAGGCCTTGAGGCGGGGCGGATTGAGTCAACGGGCTGGGTTTAGGCCGCCCTGGAGCCTGGCCCCGAGGCAGTGGGGGCGGGGCCGCTCCGGGGGCGGGGCCGCTCCGGGGGCGGGGCCGCAAGAGACGCGCTGAAGGCGGGGCCGCTCTGGGCCGCACCGGGGGCGGGGCCGCACAGGGTCGCGCTGGGGGCGAGGCCGAAAGGGGACGCGCTGGGGGCGGGGCCGCAAGAGACGCGCTGAAGGCGGGGCCGCTCTGGGCCGCACCGGGGGCGGGGCCGCACAGGGTCGCGCTGGGGGCGGGGCCAGGTTCTTAGTGAACGGGTTTGGGTTCGAGCAACATCCCGAGACCCCGAGGGGCCGGGGTCTGCGATGCGGCCGGGGCGGGGCCGGGACTAGGCTGGGGCGGGGTCCGCGGCCTCAGCTGTGTGCTCCGCAGGATGCGGGCTCCCGGAGCGGGAACGGCCTCGGTGGCCTCGCTGGCGCTGCTCTGGCTGCTGGGGCTCCCGTGGACCTGGAGCGCGGCAGCGGCGTTCGGTGTGTACGTGGGCGGCGGCGGCTGGCGCTTCCTGCGCATCGTCTGCAAGACGGCGAGGCGGGACCTCTTGTAAGTAGACGGGGTTGAAAGTGGGGTCGTGGATGCATGGCCCTCGGGCGAGCCGATGTCTTGCAGGGTGGTGAGAGGGTCCCGGTATGGCCTGGGGTTGCTTTATAGGCTGGGGCGGGGCCTGGGGGTGGAGTGACAGATTGCCCGGCTCTGCGGGGTCCTGCAGGAGACAGCCGAACTGAGCAGAGTACATGATTAGGACTTGGCGCGCTGTTAGGGTGTTAGGTGGCCACCGTTAGAGACTGGGTAATTGGTAGATGTAGAGAGAGCTGGGGGTCCCCGGGGCGCGGTGGGGACTGTGAGAGGCCTCTAGGGGTGACCCACTGTCCAGATTCTTGGAATGAGCAGGTCGGGGTAAAGGAAGGTCTTGGGGAGTCCAAAGGACTAAGGGGTCTCTAAAGAGTGTTGGCCCCTGTGTGGAACTTTGGGGTGTTGTTCTAGGCCTGGGGAACTGTCACTGATGTACCAGGGGGTGCGTGGAGGTGAGGTTTCTGGGGAGTCACGGGGTGCAAGGAACCTGGAGGCTTCTGGGATGTCTCTCGGGGTTTGTTCTGCAGTAACCTCGGTGTTACTAGGATTCCAAGTCTCGGGTCAACCCTTGGGGAGCCGTCTGAGTACCTTCATGGGCCTCCTTCGGGGGGGCAGACTGAGCATTGTGTGAGGAAACAGGTTTATGGTGGAATGGGGGCCTCACAAACTGACCAGCTCTGAGCCTTCTCTTCTCCACACAGTGGTTCTCGCCTGGTCTCTGCCTCCTGGACTCTGTTTCTGTTTTTCTTCTCTCGAAGTAGTGAAGAAACTGCATTTGAAGCAAGTAGTGTGGGGTCAGAGAAGACACTGTGAAGGCGTCAGTGGGCACACGAGTGAGGACACTCAGGGCTTTGTTTTTGGAGATGGGCTCTCGTGTCACCCAGGCTGGCCTTGAACTCCTGATCCTCTGCCTGTATCTCCCCAGTGCTGGGGTGACAGGCTTGTGCCACCACATCTGGTTGCTGCTGTGTATGCTGAGCAAGCGCTGCCCATTAGCCCAGGCCAGTCATTGTTGTATTTGTGAGACAAGGTCTTATGGAATCCAGCTTCCCACGTTTCTTCTTTCTCCTCCCTTTTCTGTCTTTCTCCCTACACACACACACACGCACGCACGCACGCACGCACGCACACACACACACACACACACACACACACACACACACACACACACCGTCTGTCTTTCTTGCCCACACTGCCGCGGGACTCAAGATGCTGCTGCCTCAGCCTCTGGAGTGACAGGCAGGTGGTTATCTCAGAACTGAGTAAGTGGCCCCGGAGAGACGGCTCAGTGCTCAAGCACGTCAGAAGACCCGAGTCTGGCTTGCGGCCTGTCCCTTCAGTTCCGGCCATCGCTCCATCCTCTGGCCTCTGCAGCTCCTGCTCCCACACATGCGCATATATGCAAGCAGGTCCTCAAGCGCACACATAGAAATAACGCCAGTATTTCATTTTTAATGAAAGAGTGTGGGTGTACAGTGCACCAGTGTCACACAGGCAGTCATGGGCAGGTGCAGGCAGTGTGACTCCAGACCTGGCTGGCCACTGGGAGCAGCCTTTGCTTTTAGAATCATCTGTTCTTTTTTGTTGTTATTGTTTGTGGTTTTTTAAAAGATTTTATTTATCTTATGAGTATTGGTGTTTTGCCTGTATGTATGTCTGTGTGAGGGTATTGGATCCTCTAGAACTGGAGTTAGAGACAGTTGTGAGCTGCCATGTGGGTGCTGGGAATTGAACCCGGGTCCTCTGGAAGAGCAGCCGGTGCTCCCAATCGCTGAGCCAGCTCTCCAGCCCTCTTTGTCTTTGTTTTGATGTTTTTGAAGCTGAGACTTACTGGGACCCAGGTGGGCCTTGAACTCCCCATCCCCTTGCCTTGGCCTTCCAGTCTGGACGTTGCCGCCCAGCTGTGCCCAGTTCACCTGCTGCCCAGGAGCACCTGCCAAGCCCTGCCCGGGTCTCCCAAGGGCCTGCTTTTCTGCTGCCCGAGTCCTGGGGCTCCGGATAAAAGAAGCTGAGGCCGGGAGAGGCCCTGGGAAGGGCCAGGCTGGACAGAGGTGTCTTTGTGCTCAGTGTGGGGGTGGCTTGGGCAGCTGCCAACCTGGGTGCCGGGGCATGTGGTGGGGACAAAACACCGGATCCCGGCCTGCCGGCGTGGGCCCGCTGGTGGGAGAGGCAAGCTGGAGGGAAGGGCCCTGACAGGCCCACAGTGCTGCTGGAACCTGGCCTGCCTCTGCCTGCAGACCCACCAGCTGTGGCCTGGTTCCCATTTGCAACATTCAGAGAACAGCTTCCTGCCGCCCTAGCCCGTGTCCTCAGCTGACACACCCACCATCTTCCTGGGCCCTAGGGCACTTAGTGGAACTCGAGGCTCAGCCGGGTGGTTATCAGTAGGTGAAGGCGTGCATGCTGGTGGTGCACTGGTTGGAGGTGGACACAGGATCTGACTGTGGACGTCGGGTGGTCCACTTCTCTCATTTAGACCCTTAGGCAGCATGCTTTCCGTGAGGTGCACACATTGAGTGCCAGTGGAGTGCGGCATCGGCATCTGCACTGTGGAAGGCCCGTGGAGGGTCTTGTTCAGTTCTGAGTCGTCCGTCCTTCACTTGCTGTGTGACCTCATCTGTGATAACGTACCTCTCTGAGCCGTCAGCTTCTCCATCGAATCCCAGTGTGTGTGAGCCCTGTGGTGTGGATATAGACAGAGCTTGGTATATACTAGGTGTTTAATAAACGCTTTGTAGGCGCTGGGGCCAGACATCTGCTGAGGCCACCCCATTTAATTTTTTGGTGTGGTATTTGGCTTTCTTAGTTACTCTGTTTATTAACGGAGCTGTGTTCACTGCTCTCTGTTCATTCTCGTCCTTGGCCATGGTTCCAGGGATCACCCCAGGAACTCATGTTGAGGAATCTGACTCCACTGACACCCCAGGAGATAGAGCCTTGAGCCCCAGGCCGTCAGGCTTTAACCACAGGATGAGCATGGAAAGCCAATTTTTAAAATTATTATTTAAATTTTTTATTATTTTATTGTTTAAGTATGGGTGTTTCTCTCTCTCTCTCTCTCTCTCTCTCTCTCTCTCTCTCTCTCACACACACACACACACACACACACACACACACACACACACACACACAAATGCACCGTGTACATTTCTAGTGTCCACAGAGGCCAGAAGAGAGCATCAGATCTCTTGGAACTTGAATTACAGATGGTTGTGAGCCATGTAGGTGCTGGGTACCCCTGAGCTGTCCCCAGCCCCCGATTTCATTTTGAGGCAGGGTCTTGCTGTGTAGTTGAGGTGATCTAGAACCTCTGCCCCTGCCCTTGGGTGCTGGGATGGCAGATGAGCACCATCTACCAAGCTTGGGTCCTTTTTTCCATCAGCCAATCAGTGCATACCTTGTGTTTCTCTTTGTACTCGCCTGATTTATGACACACTATGACTGACCGGGCCGTGGTGAGCCCAGCTCCCGGGCAGCCACCGCGTTTGGCAGCTTGTCTGTCGGCAGAGACACCACGGCATCCTCAGAGATAAGGTGTCGGGGGCTGCTTCCCAGCACATGGTCACCGTCCAGGAACCACAGCTGTAACAGACGAAGCCCTCACGGCGAACAGGAACCCTGGTGCACAGTGCTGAGCAGGAGCTGAAAGGTGGCGAGCTATTTAACCTCAGGCGGGGACACGAGCACACGCACACGCACACGCGCACGCGCACACGCACACGTGACTCCAGGTTCTCTTCTGGGTAGGAGAGGTAGATGACTAGCTCAGGGGGCTTGCCCTCAAACCTGATGACCTGAGTTCAATCCCCAGGACCCTCAAGGTGCGGGGAGAGAACCGGCTCCCACAAGTTGTCCTCTGATCTTCACACGCACAGTGAATGAATGAATGAATACATTAATGTAGCTTTAAAAAACGAAAAAAGCTTAAAGTTCTCTTCGCTTTGCAAGCACCCAGGAATGATGATCCTGGCTCACAGAGGTGTATTCGTGTGTGTCCCGTCAGGTGGCCTCTGAATGACAAGGGTGGAGAATGTCCTCATGAGTCAGATCAGAAAAAGCATTGGCTGTTTTACATTAACGTGTGTGTGTTCCCCTGTGAGCGCACATGTGCATGTGTGGAAGTCGGAGGACCGTTTGCACACCTTTAATGTGGCCATTGGAGAGAAGGTTTGAGGCCAGCCTGGTCTAAATAGCAAGTTCTGTGACAGCCAGAGCTACACAGTGAGACACTGTCTGGTTTATTTTTCTTGATTTAAAGCTTTTTAAACATTATATTAACTTTTTTTTTTTTTGGTTTTTTGAGACAGGGTTTCTCTGTGTCATTTTGGTGCCGTCCTGGATCTCGCTCTCTAGACCAGGCTGGCTTTGAACTCACAGAGATCCGCCTGCCTCTGTCTCCCAAGTGCTGGAATTAAAGGTGTGTGCCACTACCGCCCGCCTAAATATTCTATTAACATTTTGAGGCAAAATTTTGGAGGAGACCCTCTGGCCTGTAGCTCAGGCTAGCCTCACAATCACTGCGTAACCCAGTCTGGCTTTGAGTTCATGACCTCCCGCTTTAATGATAGCAGCTCCCTAAGTGGAGACCTTCACCTTCTCAGGGCCCAGCCCCTCCTGCCCCACCTCTAAGTCCCACTCCAGGGTCTTCAGCATAACCTCATGCCTGTCTGGAGCACTGACGACCCGTCCCCACCCTGGGCACATGTGTGGTGTGGTTTGGTTTTGCTCTTTTGAGGGGCCCAAGACCCAGCTCCCAAATAAATCACCCATAGAGGCTTCTTCTTAATTATAAATGTCTGGCCTTAACTTGGCTTGTTTCTTGCCACCTTTACTTAAATTATCCCATCTAGCTTTTGCCTTTCTCCATTTCTGTATACCTTTCATTATTTCCTACTCTGTGGTTGGCTGTGTAGCTGGGTGCCTGGCCCCTGATGTCCTCCTCCTTCTCTTGCTCCTTCTCCCTCCTCCCAGATTTCCCCTTCTATCTATTCTCCCTGCCTGCCAGCCCTGCCCATCCTCTCTCCTGCCTTGCCGTTCAGCTCTTTATTAGATCATCAGGTGTTTTAGACACAGTAACACAGCTTCACAGAGTTAAACAAATGCAACATAAAAGAATGCAGCACACCTTCAAATAATATTCCCGATCCATGTGGCTGTGCTTGGGAACAGCAGCTGTCCCCAAGGGCTGCAGGACCCCTGGCTGACCCCCAGCCCAGGCCCTGGGTACTCCCATCCCTCTGGGATCATTTGTGGCAGATGCTGAACCGGGAGAGCTGGGCCTTGGGCCTCAGGTCATCTCCTCAGATCTCTCCTGGCTTCTTTTCGCTTCCCCACCCTCGCCTCCTCTTTGTTTATTTTTAATTTTTACTTAATATTTCTTAGTTTTTAGGTATTTTTACTTGCACAGATGTTTTGCCTGCGTGTGTGTCCTGAGTGCATGCCTGGTGCCTGCAGAAGGCAGAAGAGGTGTTGGGGGGGGGCAGGGACTGGAGCTCCAGATGTGGGGGCCGCGTGTGGGTGCTGGAATCAAAGGCAGGCTCCGGTGCAGCCAGTGCTCTAACCACTGAGGAAACCCAGCCCCGTTCTCTTCAAGCTTTGAGACAGAATCCCTCTCTGTGGCCCTAGCTGACTTCACACTCCATCCCCCTGCCTCAGACCCCTGGGTGCTAGGATGACGGAAGACTAGACTACCACCATGCCTGGCTCCTCCCGTCTCTCTAGGGGACAGACAGGGACAGGACGAGAAGTGAGCATGCAGCCCAGGGCTCGGGAGGTCCTGGGTGCCAGGGCAGAGATGCCAAGGCAGGCAGTGCCTCTGGGGCCCTGGAGTGTTGGGGCACGGCACAGCTGAACCAAGACCTGAGTGAGAGCATGGCTGGTGTGGCCTGAGCAGAGGACCTGGGGAGGGTGCCGTGTGTTCAGGGAGCCCTGTCGTCTGCAGCGACTGACGGGCATGGTTGGGATGGGGTGGCACAGGGCATTTTTCTCTGTCCCCCCCCTGAGTCCCACCCAGCACGTAGGAGGTGGAGACACCTGGGGAGAAGTGGAGGACCGAGGGCTGGCCTTGGTGGGTGGGGGACTGACCCGCGTGTCCTGGCTTCCGTCTCTAGCCACATAACTGGGCGTGGTGGCACGCACCTTAGGACCTCTGCACCAGCTGTGCAGAGGCTCCCCCCCCCAGCCCACTGTTAAGAGCCCTCATTTTTACCCGTCACCCCCCATCGCATTCAGTTCTTCCCAGTGCTCATCACTGTGGGATCACCTCGCAGAGGTCTGTGACCCTGGAGGGATGTGGTGACTGCTCTGTCCTCAGACCAGCACTGCTTCAGCTGGCAGCCTAAGGGGGTGATGGGCAGGTGGGGGAGGACCTGAAGGGTGAGAGCAGGATGGGTGGATGAGGAAAGGGGTGGATGAGTGAAAGAAGCTGGAGTGGTTGGTTCTGTAGCCTGAGGAAGGGTTGCCATGAATTCAAGGCTAGCCTGGGCTACGAAGGAGGTATCAAATGGGAGTCCAAGGCACTGCAGGTTTGGTGTCTCCTCTTGAGTGGCCTGTGGTCACCATCTCTGTGTCCCGTGGTGACGGGGTAGGAAACTCAAGGGACGTCTCCAGAGAGAGGAACGAGGATGGCATGGGAGACCTTCCTGATAGCCAGGCCTGTCAATCAAGGTGCTCCAGAGGGGTGCAGGCTCCAGGCTAGAGGGCAGTCAGCCAGACTGACTCCAAAGTCAAAGGAGGGCTGGGGGCGTGGTCAGAGTTGGAGCCCCGCCTAGAATCCCCAGTGAGGGGCTGGGGGCGTGGTCAGGGTGGAGCCCCGCCCAGAATCCCCCAGTGAGGGGCTGGGGGCGTGGCTCAGGGTGGAGCCCCTGCCTAGAATCCCCAGTGAGGGGCTGGGGGTGTGGCTCAGGGGTGGAGCCCCTGCCTAGAATCCCC